ACTTGAAACCAAGGGAACCCCATGGTCATCCAGTCAGAAACATTGGATTTTGTTATGTCTTACTCAGTACACACTCAATACAGTACTACACTCTTAAACTCTATACTCTAGAAAGAAATATCCAAAACAAGAGCAGAAAAAAACAACAAACGCATAACATTTTATTAATTCAAGAGTCAATTTTTCAAGGTGTAGCACATGCAGGAATACAGTTTTTTTCTCAAACTTCTCCAATATGTCTACTACTGGATAAAAATCTGAAACTGCTAGAACAAAGTTTGTAGGGGGTTTTATAAAGCCATGTCCTGCCATCTGTCCTGGCTTTCCTAGCCAAATTAGCAGTATGTGTTATTTTGATATCAAGCATCTCTCATACTAACTCATCAGAACAATGTTTTTATATCTAAAGATTTAAAATATACAGATCAGAAGTAGAGGTTGTCTTGTTTCTTGTATCCTGTTGTGATGTGTTTTGATCTTGAGGCTAGAAGTTGATGAAAATGACTGATATGGCTGTATGTGCTTTTATTGTTGTGGCCAGTGTTGTCTCATTAATATGTTTAATTTTTAGAAAATGGTTTCACTGCTGTGAAAATAGATGTAATGTTTGGATTTAGGGGATATTAGAGTTTACTTGCATGTGCAATACTTTGTGAAATGCTTAAAAAATGTGTTGCTTATGACAATATAAAGTGTAATTTATTGCACTGCTCTGTGGACTTCCAAAATGGACACAAATAAATTTGACAGCTATTGACTTGTTCAGGATGGAACGCCTGAAGCAATAACATCACCGACATCTCCCGCGACAGCACTACTGTCCCACTACTGTTTCCAGCCTCTGTGGCTATTTAAGCAGAATAATGAAAGGATGTTGACAGAAGTCACAAGCAGTGGATAAACTATCATGCTCTAATTCAAGCACTACTGCTTTAGACTCACACTGCTGCAGAGAAAACAGAAAGTCCAGAGGCACGCGTCTACCACAATGTCTGAAAGTGACCTGCAGTTTCTGGAACGGGAGGTGCACTGGGAATCATTCCTGTTGCAGCGGCGTTTCAAACTCAATGACTGTGATCTTTGGCCAAGCTCAGGTCACACATTTTTGGAATGATGGGACTACGGCGACCACTTGTCCAGTCTGACTATTTTCCACTGGGCCCCTCGCTGGCGGACGGCACTCAATATAATCTCACGCCGGCTCCCAGAGTCCTCTGCAGTTTGACATGAGACCACACCCGGTGTGCCGCACCAGGAGATGCTGACCTTGACCTTTGACCTATGGTGATCCAGGAAGAGTGTCATCTCCCGGACCCCCATGAGGTGGGGCGAGGCAGACGATTAAGTGTTAATGATAGCATAGACACAGGGCTCGTCAGCATCCTGCCGAGAGAGATTCGGGTTGAAACAACGAGCACAGGAGCTGAAGAAAGAGCACATGATTGACAACTATGGCCAGTCAGAGGCTGGAAGATAAGACTGGGCTAGAGCTCCATCAGTCAACGATAACAGGCATGTCCATGGAGAAAGAGCAGGAGACTAATTGCACTGTCTGCAAATGAGAGGAGGCCATTTGACCCATCCTGCTTATTAAGCTAACAGCCATATCGCTCTG